AAAAAAAAAAAACACAATAAAACAAACAAGAACTGATGAAATAAATGATATAAAATAATTTTAGGTTAAGAAAGGTTTTGTTTGTTTATTTGTTGTTAAGTTTGTTTGTATTTAAGCACAAAGCTACACAATGGGCTATCTGTGCTCTGCCCACCACGGGTATCGAAAACTGATTTTTAGTGTTGTAAGTCCGCAGACATACTGCTATGCCACTGGGGGAGGGGCGGTTGTTAAGCACAAAGCTACATATTGGGCTATATTTTCTGTGTCAAACACAGGTATCGAAACCATATTTGTAGCTTTATTATAAGTCGAGAAACTTTCCGCTGAGCCACTTGGTGTGGGTAAATTTTAAAAAGAATTGCCTTGGAGTATGTCACCCATTTGTGTAAGTAAACACAAACCAAATAATCAATGTTTTATTCATCTGTGCTATATGGGTTTCGATACCCGTAGTGAGCACAACACGGCTAACCTATTGTGTAGCTTTGTGCTTAACTACAAACAAACAAAACGATTTTTAGCTTTAAAAGTCAGCAGGCTTACCGCTGTGCTACTGGGGAGAGGCTGTACCATATGTGGGTTTCGATACCCGTAGTGAGCACAACACGGCTAACCTATTGTGTAGCTTTGTGCTTAACTACAAACAAACAAAAAGTGCCATGGAAAGATGGGTTTTTCCTCCCTTTACCGATTATCCCTGAAGAATAAATGTCCCCCCCATCCACTAGGATTAGAAGGGCTGTTTTCATTCCCTTGTTTTTTGTCGTCTTACGTAGTTTTTTCTTCAATTTATCATCATATACATATCAGTTTTTTCTTCAATTTATCATCATATACATATTAGTTTTTCTTCAATTTATCATCATATACATATTAGTTTTTTCTTCAATTTATCATCATATACATATTAGTTTTTTCTTCAATTTATCATCATATACATATTAGTTTATTCTTCAAGTTATCATCATATATATATTAGTTTTTCTTCAATTTATCATCATATACATATTGGTTTAGATCAGCGTTTCTCAACCTTATCGAAAAGGACCGGTTAACTGACTTCCTGAGATGTCGCGGACCATTAAATTGCATGTATAACGAAAAATGGTGTGATCTGCACACGAATAGTCTGACAGTTTCTGTTTGTTTTTGTCCAATTCCACGCACTGGCCGCGGTCTGCGGACCAGTGGTTAAGAAACGCTTGTTCAGATCATCTATCTGTCTTAGAGACCTGTAGATCCGTTATTTTAAGTTCCATTACACGAAACGTTCCAATTTCTTTTCAATATTTCCTGTCTTAGGCCAGGCTCGATGACGTATACAAATCAGCCGAATATATTGCTTCGCTCGTTTTTTTTTGGGGGGGGGGGTGCATTTGAAAGATTTAATGTGTAGGAAGGCTTAAGTGTTAAAGTCACCAATTTGTGTTTCAAACTCCAAGCAAGAAGCCATTCAGTTGTTTTAAATAGTTCACGAATTCGTTTTCGAATCCTTAAACGTTCAATCAACACTAAAATTTCACATAAGCGACCCGTGTCCATGGGGGCTCATCAATGCACTTAGACTCCCTAATTTGCGGCCCATTGCTGAAAGACCAAATTACTCACATACCGTTTTCTGATAGTCCCTCAATCTATCTGATTGGTTAAA